CTTTTGTAATCATTACGGTGGCCAATTTATCATTTCAACTTTGTTGATATATCCAAATTATATGTTACTCCCACCGACGCAGCCCCAGACAGTTTCTTTCGAAACTATCAGCCTTTATCCGAAACAGTAACCTATCCCTAATCGTGCAATAGTGCGAAGAAGTTAATTGGTTAATTCTCAAAGACTTTTTGTACGCCGTTGCACGCAGAATCTCTTCTCTTCCCACAAGTCACGAGGCTCGACAGTGTCTGCAAATCTCCCCACCCACTTCCCCTTCAGCAGTGCTGGTCAACTCCTCTTTCAGCTTACTCTGCCCCATGCAAAAAATCCTTTGCCCGTTACTAATCCATCTTAGTGCATAGGGAGGCTTATTTAGGCGAATGTGAATCCATTTCTACAAACCTTTATATTTCTGTAGCACACAATGTTTCAAATGCACATAAGATCATTGTCCCCTCACATTTACCAATGATTACCTCTGGTACATGAATTTATCAAGGTAGAGTTAAAACCTTAAACTCGATTCCCCAGTGTAGGTCTGGCAGGTCCCTTGCACTTTGATTAAATAAATAACTGCCTGCCGACAATTGGCCTCATTTAATCTTAGAATCTTAGACCAACTTTATAAGTTTCAAAAGTAATGAGAGACCATGTTAAGAAAAACCAAATAAAGCCCCATTTCCCACTATTTTATCCCTAGATTGTAAAATTATCAGTACCATTACAAAACATTCGTTTTTATTGCATAATCAAAGCACAGAATACAACAGTGATGATATTTGTCTAAGGGCTGTTAGACTTCATCCAGAGAATGTTACCTCCTGACTTAATTCATGTGATTTATTACTAGCTAGTGAACACTATCTATCTCAGTCTTTGAAACGCAATTGAACTTTGAAAGTTACACAAATGTCACATCTCGCTATAATCACCTCAAACAAAACAAAGGAAAAACTCTATTTTCTTTTATAGGATAAACTTACTTTCACACGCAGTATTTACCCTCAAGCATAAAACCAATCATGGAATATATAGCTGTTTCGAGAAAGGTGGTCGGAATAAATAGCCCATTTCCGAATCACCCTTGGCCTCATTTTCAAAACGAGTCCTGGTGCTCAGCCTTTCATATAATAATAAGTTTTCAATCACATGCAAATTAAACTCATTTTCACAAGAATGGTTGAGCACCAGGCCTCGTTTTGAAAAAGAGGCTAAGGCTAATCCAGAAATGAGCTAAGGGTAATCTAGAAATGGGCTATTGTGATAACGTCTAAGGGTATTGTGGGTAGTTTTCAGGTCACAGCACCTGGATGCCAGAAAAATATGAGAAACAATATCATTTTTAGGACAAGGAACAAAGGGTTTGATTCATCGGTTTTTTTTTTTTTTTACTTAATAAAATGAATTGATTAACGGATATCTAGATTACTTTTCGAGACTGTCGCTTGCGGTTTTGTCCGTTTTTTCCGACAATCTTTTTCGAAACAGCTATATACCTTATAACACTTGGCTACCGTTAAAATGCCCTTCATTTGATCCTTACAGTGTCCATGTATTATGGACTAAATGTGATGATTAGACCGAAGCATCGACGAAGACCGATACCGAAGACGTATCCACCTCACTCTGTCCAATGGGTACCGAAAAGGGTCGGCGACGATATTGTATTAGTGAAGGATTGCGGAGAAGAGTAACAGCAAGAAGCCAGCGATTTACCGCCTTCTGTGCCAGGCGTGGATGGCGAATTTCGCGTGTAAATCCTGTTTCAAGTTTACAAAAATTCTGTAAGCAAACGGTCAACTATTAAAGTGTATTTGAGTAACTCTGAACTACGTTGACTCTCTCAGAGCCGCAACTCAGGCACTGTCCCGTACGGCTATTTTACATTCATCAAATGACATACCAGTGACTTGTTTTGGCTCCCCAACATTGTGTGGCTGCGTAGAGTGGTTGGAATGCTCTGTGATGGAGAGATTTTTTAGCTATTTAGTTAAATATAGCTATAGCTAGTTGTTAGTATAATTGCTCAAGGGATTATGGAAAAGCACACGCTCTGATTGGTCGAGGACTGCGTCATGTCTCGCTATAATCACCTCGCGGGAGGTAGAAAGCAAGACTCGATAACTGACGGACTGACTGATCGTCTCACTGATTATTAACAGAGTGAGTAACTCAGTGACTGACTGATTGACGGATTGACTGACAGGACTGACTGACGAACGTATTGACTGCCAGTCAATGACTGACCGACTGATCGATTCACTAATTACTGACAGAGTGAGTCTGACTGACCTACTGACTGACTGACTGAATGAATGACGAACCGACTGCCAAACTAATTGAGTGACTGACCGAGCAACTGAGTGACTGCTTACCCAATAACCGACTTCTGAGGACGAAATTCCTTAAAAGTATAATATTCCGCTCGAGTTAATACTCTCACTATGTTCTTCTGAGACCCAGTAATATCTCATTACTTGATAAAGTTGCTTACGTTTCTCCTCCGAAGTTGTTAGCTTGTTGCTTTCAATGAGCAACTGGCAGAACATTAACACAACGGGATGTCTGTGAGCTACCAACACATGAAGAAATCCAAGATACGCCACAAAACCTGTTTTGTTAAGAAGGGAAAATAAGAGGGTAATATGGGGAGTCAAATAGACTCTGTATTGTTGTTCGCGTTGTTCTTGTTGTAGCTTCCACGGGTAAAGTATATTTTGCCTAGAGACCAGTCATCATTTGTCCCTGGGGGGGACGGAGAGTGGGGAGGGGAAGGGGGGAAAGGAATGGGGGGAAAGAGGATTTTGAGGGTGATTAGATGGCTTTCAGAAGGCACGAAAGGACATCAGTCGTCTCTTACAGAGTTTCAAATTCAACGAGAGAATATGGAACAATGATTGCCAGTAAGCAGCGGGGGGAGTCACTAAGATGCTACAGAGCATTATGGGGGAACGGGTAAATTTTGTGGTGACACAACCGAAATCCACCCACCCTGTTGTCCCAGGCAAAAAAATAGTGACTAGTCCCTTGTGCTGCGTTATATTATCGTTCAAATGCTTTGGAAATTTTTTAAAATCAACATCAGCAAAAAAGAAAAAAAAAAAAAAAAAGAAGTCTGAGAGGCAACAAGCAGTTGCTTAATATTTCAACTTTTCGGCAGTTACAGCTGAGTGCTGAGTGGCTAGCACTAAATGGTGGCCTCTTTTTTAATTTTTTGAAATATTTTTCGGAGAGCTTACCTTTGTCCCACATCTGGAATCCTGGCATTAAAATAGTTCGATCGAGACGTGAGAAGAAGAAAAGCCCAAACATCAAAGCTTTGACTATCCGGAAAAGACCAGACACGATTCCAACAATGGTGTTGAGAAAAACAAACGCATAGGACATGATAGAGAACAGTCGCCTAAAAAGTAATTCCAAAAAAAAGGACCAAAAAGAAAGTAAGTGAAACAAAGAGAAAATGAATAGCTCCCTTTACTGAAAGGAACAATGATGAGAAGAAAACGCGGCCTATTTCCAAGACGTTAAGCATAAAGAGGAGGGTCTGGGGTGTTATAAAAGGAACCCGCAGGCAGCCCCATGTGCGGACTCCTCATAGGCTTCTTCGGGGTAGAGTGATCTTTTTCAGAGGAGAAGAGAGGAAAATTACTCAGGTGAGTTATTACAGAACTGTACGCCTGTACTCTTTCTAATTGGTAGCATATTATGATATACTCTTCGAGAACTGTCTCGCGGCAACATCCAGCGCCTTTGGCGAGACAAATAGCATTTTCTTTTGTTGAAAAAACCAAATAGATAACCATGTTCTTTGTTAACCATTTTAGCCACTGACATGGGCAAATTGTGTTGGAAACTTTGTTCACACAGCCAGTTTTAAATATTACGACAATGCAAGCGCCTGTGAGGTAAATTGGTTCGTTTAACATTGCTTAGGGATGCAGAGGAGCAAGAATCACTGTTAGCAAAACAACCCTTGAGGTCAATGTAACCGCTATTTAACACATAGGTAAGGTAAAGGTAAAGCCTCCTTACGAGCCATGTGGCTCATCGGGCCGGCGCTTAACGCCGGTTTCCGTAGCATGAAGCGACTAGGAGTAATTCTACTCTCCCCCTGGATGGGATGCAAGTCCATCGCAGGGTTACCCCCAGCATTAAATTCGCCGGTACCCATTTAAACACCTGGGTGAAGAGAGGCACTGTGAGAGTAAAGTGTCTTGCCTAAGAACGCAACACGATTTCCCCAGCCGGGACTCGAACCCGGACCACTCGATCCGGAGTAGAGCGCACCAACCATGAGGCCACCGCGCCTCCACAATTAACAAATAGATGCCATGTTAACATGTTCACTGATAGATCACAGATGATGTCAAGATGTGATAAGAACTAAAAATAAATTGGCGCACGAGGTGCAACTGATTATGTCAGTGTTATTCTTACCACAAAGAGAAGTTTTTTGTGATCTATACTTGAAAAGACCCACATTATCAATCTATGACTGAGTAAAAAAGAAATGTGCTAATGACCTCATCTATGTGTCAAGAGCCAATCTAAGTGCTTGCGCAGTTCAGGCTTATTTATAACGGAACTCGCAGCGCGCGAAACGCGCGCCTCATAGCCGTATACTTATATTAATAGATTTAGAAAATATCTTTTCAAAGTTACCGGTTGTCAATCACGACTGAGAAATCTGGGTACTCTCTGTCACGAAAGAGATATCGAGCTAGGAAAAAACGCTCGAACAATCGTAATAGGAGGGACAGCACTATCGATGGCCTGAGAAAACGAAAAAAATTGAAATAAACAAGTAAGCAACAACGAATTAAATACCTGAGGGACAATGTGAACAATAACGAAACAACCTATTTAAGTTGTCAATCTACGTACACAAGTCCCTTCGCACATCGCCAAATCCACTCCCGTATTATTTGAAAAAGGCTTGGAATGAGAATCAAAACAAAGCCCAAATTTGACAATACGACGAAACCTGCAAAGAGAAACGAGCGAAAAATTGGACAGACCAAAACAAGAGGTATGAAAATATCATCATTTGGAGAATGTGTAATCTGAGAACACACTATTTAGCGCGCTATTAGGCCTTGTTTTAGCACAAGGACTGTTATTATTATTATTATTATTATTATTAAATTCAAATTAATACCGTTCAGTTTCTATAAAAGTATTCAACTGCGCCTTACAATAAATATTAAATCAAAAATAAAATAGAAGTTCAAAATTACAAATCTAAAATTCCATAAATAAATAAATAAATAAAATAATTCATCAGTAATGCAATTTAATTATAACAACTATAGTAATTAATTAAACGCCCTATTAAATAAAAAAGTTTTAAGTCTAATTTTAAAAATATCTAAACTGGAAATAGATCTTATTGTGGTAGCAAGCAGATTGTTAAGCACATTCTCGAAAGTTATGCAAACCCTTAACTCATTCCAACCCGGCGTATTTTGCCTAGACTACGTAAACACGAAAAAAAAAAGAAAAAAAAAATCATCTCTTGCTTTAATATGGACTCACACCGGATATACCTCTGAATGTTGCTCTGTAACTGATAATTAAAATAAACGATTGGAATTTTCGCTTTTGCATTGCTTTAAATAACTTGTACACGAAACAAAGGCGTTAGTTCTTAGAGTATTTTAGGTTGAAAATTCCATGCTTACCAATCACGGCATAGGCGACTTGGTATCCAGTGTAACTTAGGCTTCTTCCCTTTAAGACAAAACAACCAGTGGTAATTAAATATAAGGCAAAATGTAAGTGAAATTCTTTTAATAATCATTGTTATTATAATCGTGATCATGACGGTAACATTGATCGTGATCATATGGGCCAGGTTGTTCAAAGCTGGGTTAAGTGAACCCTTGAAGTCTGATTTCAGATCTGAAAGCTTTAAAGGAAAATTCAGTATAGTTCCTTTTCCCAGAATTTGATTCATTAGATGCTGTAAAAATAGTAGAGAAGGTTATCCCAAAAAAGCTTTTGAACAAACGGAGAAATAAACCCGGATTAGAATTTAACCCTGAGATAGTAGTAATCGGCCTTCGAAAAGCTAGGCCCATGACTTGGAACGCTGCCGTAACCGCAATCTTGATCGTGAACGTGAACGTGAACAAGAACGTGATCTTGATCTTGACTGTAATTGTGACTGTGACTGTGAACATGACTGTGATCGTGACGTGTTTTGACTGTTATCATTATTCAACAATTATGAGATTATATTCAAGGAACAAATTCTGAATTTTCTGGAGGAGGGCTACATCTTTCCAACCTTTCAAATTATCTTTCCCTTCCTGAAAGGTAATTTTAAAAAAGATATCAGTGTAGGGAAAGATTAGTCATCTCCTCTTCAATTTTGATATAGACATTGAAGGCTAATTTCTCGCCATACCACAAACGAGGCTGGTGAGAGGCAAACGTTTTGCATTACGCGTCTATCTCCTCGGTAAAGCTGAAGCACGTGGTCCCTGTGGAGAAAGAATTACAATAGACGCTACTTTAATCTTTCAGTCCGAGTTCAACAGAATGCCTAAGAATGAGTTAGCGTCCGAAGAAAAGACTTCCAGAGCAAGAAATAAAGAATTCCCTTGAAATAACGCTTTTATTTATCTTTATCGCCCCGTGGTGGTGGAATGGGGTGGGGGCTGGGGGGGATAAGGGGGATTTCGTTTATGTCACAATATCCATAGCCTGAGTGCAGACGGACTTTCATTTGTTCCTTCGTTAAGTCCGTCTGCGAAATAACGAACAAAACCGTGTTCTGAGACCCCGCAACTAGCAGGGAAATATAGTGTCACTCCCGACTCCCTTGGGAGATTTCGTTAGTCACATAACACCTTTAAGCTTGAATCGCCATGTGCTCGGGTGAGCGAGTGTTTTTAGTTTATATAGCAGAGAGTTTGATAGAAGTTATTGTGCCTTTCTTTGGCTAAAAGCGAACAGTTCGGTAAGTCGATATAATTGCTTTTTGTTGTTCGGAGAGGTATTCGGAGCTTAATGCCTTCTCTTGTTTGTAATTTTCAGAAAACCTCTCACTTTTATTCATTGACCGAGGCCGTGCGGCCAATGTACGAGTTTTCGACGTTCGTTTAAATTTGCGAATAAACATAAGTACTACGGTACTGACATATATAGTCGATCGTAATTGGCTATTGCCTTTACTGTTTCAAACGAGCCTTTTGATTGGCTCGTCTCTTCGCTCCAGCCTTTTGCTGCTTTGGGTCAGTGTTTTGGTTTTCGCACGTGAGTTTGACAGATTTCCCGGGGTCTTAGTTGTGTAGGTGTACCTGAACGCAGCAGATGGAAATCAGTAAATGTCAGTGTAACCTTTGCTTCAAATATATTAAAAAGGAATGTAAAAGATATTGTGTGAATGGCAGAGGAAAATTCAATGTTCGCACAGAAATGAAAACGCTACCATTTGAAGTAGCAAATAGAACTCAATATGTTTGTCGTATTTGCGTAAATCAACTAAAAAGAAGAAGTAATATCCTCAATCAGGTGAAACAGATTGAAGACGGCTTTCGCATCAGCCAGGTTTCTGCACAAAATTCTACACAAAACAAACGACCAAACGAGAGTGAAGATCTTTCAATCACACCGAAGAAAACACGCACCGATCATGCATCGAAAATTCTCGCCTCAACACCAGTCAGTCATTCCTCGAGATTTCCCAAAATCCAAGTTAGTCCGATCAGACCCAGCACGACAGGTCTAAATCCTGCATTAATTACTGAAAAACAAAAAACTAATGTTACTATCGAGATCAGCTGGCCATCTAAGGATCAAAGAAGGGAGCTGCCAGAATCTCGAATCACTTGGCAAAATGCTGGTTCGTGGGACTTATAAGCAAATTGTAAGTGCAGCATGGCGAATACCAGATATAAATCGTGAGTTAATTGTACTCTTTCTCAAAGAAGTAGAAAAAGAAACAAACAGTTTATGTGCGAAGAAGGGTGGCCCAAACAAAAAACCAAACAGTTTCTTGATGAAGACTGACAAAGAAAGCATGCTCGCTCTTTCATTAGAGAAGGTGTCTGAAGAGATCAAACTAAAGGCGCCACTGTTCCACAGTGTTTTGTTAGTCTCAAGTACCTGTAGATACAAAAGAAAAACCGAGCAGCACGTCCGAGACGATTGGAAGGCATTGATAAATAAGAGACTTGCCGTATCCAGTGGGAAGATTAATGAACACGTCTCCCTTTTCGAAGAAAGCTCTTATACCATCAACCTGTTCTGGCAATAGATCGTCGACTTGAAAGTAAGTTTTCACTGCTTCAAAAGCACAATTCCAACACTCCTCTGAAAACTTTGACGACGCATATCTCTAACATTCGTAAACTTTAGCAAAAAACTGGAGCCAGGAGGCGAGCCAATCACAAGGCTCGTTCGAACCAGTAAAGGCAACAGCCAATTACGATCGATTATATATTCCTCTGCTAGTTGTGGGGTTCTCAGAATACGGTTTTGTTTGTTATTTCGCAGACGGACTTAACGAAGAAACGAAGGAAAGTCCGTCTGCACGCAGGGGGCAATATTCGCTGTTTTATCATTCACGATCTCCCCTTCTCATTAGCGGTAAATTGGCTGTCAGCTATCCATATTCTCCCTCTGTACGCTGTTAACGACGACTGATCTCCCCTCTGTTCCCCCTGGAAATCACGTGATCACCCCAGTTATTCTACGACTCCCCTCCCCCTCCCCCCTCCTGGCGAGAAATAATGACTGGTCCTTTAATAAGTTCACATACTTTCACTTCAGAGGATTGGCATCTTAGAGGTGGGTAAATAGTTAAATCGAAGATTCTCAATAGTCAACCACAAGAGAAAATCAGAGACTGAGATTTAGCAAGGTTAGCTCCACGATCCCCCATAGATACCCTGGCTTTGTTGAAGTTATTTTTAAGGTGTTGTTAATAAGAGGAAAATGTTGGGTTAGAGTCACGATAATCTTCTGTTTCTTTTTTCTTTTGAGATATATCGATTATAACAACGCACAACTTTCAAATGCTAAAGCTTATAAAGGTGCTTTAGTCGTTCGTAGTGATACACATGAGGTACGCTAACTCTAGAGGCTCAACCGTACGCAAAAAGTCCAGACAGCTTGAAGGAATTTCCTTCAAGCTGTCTTTCCGAAAGGGGCCACAAACGTTGACGGGACATCTAGATTGAATGGAAATTTAGTTGTGGATATTCCACGTGGTGGCTTATCTTATTTACTGTTTCCAGCGGAGCGAGGAAAACCAAAAGCCCCGAAAAAAAAACCGGGAATTAAACCTTCAAATCATGTAACACAAGGTTCGGGAATCGAACCCCGGTGGAAGCGGTGGGAGATGGACGCTCTCGCCACTGCGCCATCCCTGCTCACTCATAAACTCTTAAAACGCCATGGTTGACCATTCATTGTCAAAACGAACACATTTGGTAAAATTAGTCACACGTACCTGTGGCACTTCATGAAATGAAGAGTTGTTATAACATAAATCAGAGCAGCGAAAACATACGATCCGTAGAGACAACCTAAAATCAACACTGGATATAAATAAGTTTTGCCAGCAGAAAATAGAAAGCAATCATAGCATGTTCCAGGTAAGCAAGTAGGTATTGAAACAGCGGAACAGTGAACGGCGCATTAGTAAGCGGTGTAATTATAGTGGCGGTGAGGCAACACAACGCGCCGGACTTGGGTCGGATCGCGTAACGATCCCGCACCAAACATTTCTCGATTGTTGACGCCGTTTACAATCGCACGTCATTTCATTAACTGAACGCCTGTATCATGCTAAAAAAGGCCTTTGATACTGGAGAGGACGTTCTCGCTACGACATCGCAATGGCATTCTCCTCACTTTGTATAGGCAATTCGTGAAAGAAGTTTTTCATTTTTAATGATTAAGGCTTACTACACAAGCGATCTTCTCTCGGGAAAGCTTCAACTTCATAAACATCTCAGTGCGATTAGGAACGATGTAACCTCCGCGATATTGAAAAAGTTTCTAAAGAGATGGTCAATCTCCTAACATGCACGTGGTCTTTTTTGTGCGGTGTTCTGATGAAAATGGTCGTTGACGCTAACGGTTTATGACCTCTGGTTGATAATACAGTCGATCAGAATACGGTACTTCCTATATAGCATATGATAATGCACAAGAGTAATATGACCACTGTTTATGGATCATTTTCCCTGGTTATAATAGATTCAGTACCTTTGAAAAAAGGTTTGATGATTGATTAATGGATTGAGTGACTAAAAGACTGATGAGAGATTGTCTGTTTCACATGATCAAGTCGTTCAAGGCTGTGAGCTAAAGAGATTTCAGGAAGCAGAAACCATTATTTTCTTAGTTAATACGTCACCTCTTAGTACATGAATTTTAGAGTAAGAGCCCAGAGAGCTTATTACATCTTCCAACACTAAGAGAAAAACCAACAAAACCTAACAGAGAGAAATAGAATATTTCAGAATCATTTGATGACACTTTTGCTTTAGATAATACAAGTCACTATTAATTCGTCAATCACACTCGTGTCTGTAATGAAATCCTTTTTTTTAATCGTTGCCAAAGACGAACAGAAGCGAATAGGCTAAAAAACCAGTACATTTCTAAATCGATGGACAAGAATCTACTGTTAAATCAGTACTAACGTACTTCAAAGACAGCAATCCCGACGAGAAACAATGTTGATATCAACTGTGTGGAGAACTTGAAATCTGAAATGACAGAGTTTTCCTTTCCATTAGTCCAACCCGGTTATTGGTCCAGTACTGAGCTCGTTGTTAAAAATAAAAACAAATGGATAAATAGACAAATATATTACTAAATCGGGGCCTTAACGAAGGAAAAGCATGTAGCCAAAACTATTAAATCATTCTTAAATACCAAGTGAAGTTATTCATTTTGCAACAAGATACCATACATACCTGCCCTTGATTTATAAAAAAAGTAAAGAACCTTCCAATACCACTCTGTTTTGTCCGGGTAACTGAAAACATGACAAAGACGATACTGCTGACGATGATGCTAACGCTTACGCTTATCTGAGTGCTTGCAATTAACAGAAGAAGAAGGACGGGGACGCGGACAAACTTTCCTTGAGTCGCACCCTGAGTTATCTTGAAGTCCTACCCTGAACAGGAGCCTACTTAGAGGACCACCTTCTAGAATATTAAAGGATATCTTACATCAGAGGTTTTTGGCATAAAATCAGCTTCACGTGAATGGCGTCAGAATCATGACTCAGTGAGCGAGAGCAGGAGTCCTTTCCCTAGAGAGAGAGATTTAAGGGACGTTATTAAGACAGTTACCGTTATTTTCAATACCTTGAATTCATTTTGTATTATCCTGTGGCCACTTTCGCTACTCATTAAGTCTTTAATTTTTTTTCTTGAATCTTATTATTTGCTGGAATTTTCTTCTACGTCTCGATGTTTGGGCGCCTAACAACCTTACTTAACGGTTTCCCTTTGAACTAAGCAGGGAATTAGTTAGAAACTGCAGTCAGTAACTTTATCTATTTGGACAGTGTGCATAAATACTGTCAAAAGACTGTAGTTTCGCTTATGGCCGTATTGATATCCACATAGACATTGCCATGTTCAAAAACATCATGATACGCAAATTACACACTTTGCATCTTTCGGTCTAAAGAAATGGGAACACGTATGGAATTCTAACTTACAGCTGACTCTGTAGAAGATACAGACCATATTGGTCTAACTCGTCGTACAACAAGTAAAGCAAATCGCGTTGTTATAAACATAAGGCACAGTGTGGTCGGCAAACTGTCAAGGATAAAAATTAGTCCAATGGATCTCGTTTCCTAAAAGAAGAAATAAGTAATTTAAGCGGCGTACGTGCCATTTTACCATAACTCGTGAAATCTGACATGATGGCAACTGCATCTATATAATAATGACAGAAACAACCATAAACATAGATATCGGGGGGTGCAACTAAGATTTCAAGCTTGGGTTCTCCCGGCTCAAGCTTTTCGATCCAAATACTACCTTTTCCTACACCGAACATGTGTACAATTTTCCAAACCCTTTTTAGATCTGACTTACGAACCATTTATCTTTTCCTTTACCATAGCACTTGATGTAGTGTGATACTTTGTGAAATTAACCGGAATTTCTACTCCTCATGTGTATTTTTTGTATCGTTTTCTTTCTTTATCACTCACTCCATTCCTAACAATTTATTACTACGTTTAGAAAAATATAGCAAGCAGCTTTATCTGCGCGAAGATTTGCACCTGAGAAGGGAGACCAATTCATTTTCATTTTAAAGAAATTCTACTACCTTTATCTTGTAGAGAGAGGGACACTAAAACTCAAGAATAATTTACTCATGTGACAGTCGCTCGAGATTATCATCTGCGTGAGAAGTCTATTAGACAATACGCGTCTTAAACTAAATAAATCAGTGCATCGCCACAAATATCTTGAAACAGTACCATAACTTGTACCTCCGATGGGTTAAAAAGTCAGACTTTACGTAGCAATCCGACTGCTACTGCTTTTTTCTTTTAAGTACCAAACACTACACTTCCGAAAAAAATAGGAAAACCTGAATTATCTAGCCTTCAAATGAAAAAAACACACTCAAAGAGGAAAAAAACATTCAAGAAAAAGAAGCGCAAGTTAATAAAACAAAAACAATTATGTAAGCATGTAGATGCATTTAAAAACCCCTACCTTATACGCAACGTAGCAACGTATCTGTGTTGAAAGTTGAAAAGAAAACCTAAAAGTATTTAATACATGGATGTCAATAATTGACTCATGAAGAGATAGGTATCGGCCAGCTGTTGACTGGCAAACTATCTAAGGCTCCATTTTCGACGTTCCTTAACAATAGTGTTAAAAGAGAGGAAAATAATCACAATTTTAATTTAAAAGCTCTTACATGTACCTACCTTAACACACCATAGAGGAAACCAAGAATAGCGCCAAGTAACTTGTATTCAGTTGTGAGGCAGGCAAAATATGGATAGTATAGTATTGAAAACAGGAGGGCAGCCAAGAAAACATCAATAACTGAAGATAAAGGAAACTACTCATGATTTCACTCAACGACACTTGGGATCTCAAATGTATCTTTAACTGCTATAAATGCTGAAAAAAAGTCTTTAAGTCCGTAGCTTTTTTCTTGCTTTATTTGTTTTCCTTTGCTTTGATTTTGTTTTGATTTACGATAGAATGTTGGTTTTATTTTAATCCCGGGCTCGATTTTGGCTCTATGAACTGATTAACTGAGTAACGTGCCCATGAGCTTAGATATGATAGCGCTCTTGGAGACCACAAGGTCTAGCCTGTTATCACAGAGCAATTTACAGTAAGCTGTATTATCAGACAGGCATCGTGTAATAAACGCATGACAAAGAGACTTCTGTTGGGAGGTTTCTGCTTTACATGCATCATTATATGTTTGATCTTGAAAGATTTTCTTAAGAAATTAAAGCCTCATGATGATCCTTGTTCCTAACCTAGCTGAGAAGTTCGATCATAATAGCGTTAGAGTTACCTACTTTTTACCCAGCGAGATTCAGATGGAACAATCGAAACACCTTTTCTTCCAGACAATGCCGTGTACATAACTGTACTACCTAAGGCTCCAAACGTAAAAGCAATGGTCCATCTGTTACTAAGACCACCAAGAAAGTTCATCGGTCTAAAGAGAATGACACAAATATGTTGTCACTATGGAAAATTTTACTGCCGCTGCTTTTCTTTCGTTCTTTCTTCCTTTTTTTCCTTCTTTTCGTTTCCACCTCAAGCAGAAAACCTCGTTTCATGTCAAGGGGGCGAGCGACGGTCAAAAGAGAGGGAGGAAAAGGGAGTTGGGCTCGTCCCGTACCTAGACCTTCCACGACCAAGTGGTTGTAAGGTCACAATTACACTGTAGGGATCTGGATACGAAATTAAGGGGAGGGAGTAGGAGGGGTGGGGGGGAACAACTGACTGAAAAGATACAGTTGTCGATAAAGGTGACTGATATTGCAGAAAACAGAACGTAGGTCAGTTGGTCATAAGTTTAAACAACTTAAAGCACCATTGCTTTAAATTTTAAGCCAAATAACACACTTTTGCATTGATAAACGAGCCTTTTGAAAATATATATATATATATCTTATTAGACGTTTTGTTGTGTAGTATTGCTGAGTACTTTTACGAGTTGTGCCTTATTTTAACGAGCCCGTAGGGCGAGTCAAAATACAAATAACGAGTAAAAATACTCAGCGATACTACACAACAAAACGTCTAATTAGTTATTTATTATCCAACACGCCAAACTGTTATTTCAGGGCGGACGAATTTCGCAGATATTTATTTACGGGGAGTGCGTGACAGAAGTATGCGAAGCGAAACGGAATTGGCGCGTTGTCGTGTT